ATCGCCACGTACCTGCGCGACGGCAAGGCCATGTACGCCTTTCTCTCGGCGCTGCCGCCCGCGTGGCACACGACGCCCATGGCCGCGCTCGCCACACTCTTCGAGGCCATTCGCAGCCGGCGGCTCAAGAACACAAACATGGGGTGTCTGTGGCCCGACCTCAACTTGCCGGATACGATCTTGAACGACAAGGAGCTCGTTGACGCCGCGCAAGCTTGCACGCCGATGCTCGCGCAGCTCGACGCCACTGCCCAGCTGCACTGCGAGCTGCGTCTTCCGCCATCGGTTCACATTTCCAAGCAAGTTGTCTCGTTCAGTGAGCTCCAATGCGCAGTGTCCTACTGGTCACAACAACTCGCGTCGCTAACAGTGACCCGGACGAATGACCAGAGGTCCATCCAACTAGTCTGTGACGCGCTGCGTAGCCTGCCCGCGCTCCGTCGGCTTGTTGTCTTGTGGCATCCTGCCGCACAGCCAAAGGAGACATTGACGCTGCTTGATGCGCTCGATTTCTCCAACGTCACGGAGCTGAGGCTGCATTACAACTTGGCGAACCCGGTGCAGTGGACCGCGACCGAGGTCAAGGCACTTGTGCGGTGGCTTCAAGCCAAGCCCGTCACCTCCATCAGTCTCGTGGATGTGTCGATTAAAGCGGCGGACGCAGAGACCCTCGCACGCGCGCTGCTACAGTCGCAAACGCTCAAGTCCCTCCACGTCGATGGCGGGCAACTGCAGCGCACGCTCTTCAACCTCGGGTTACCGCTGCCGAACCAGCTCGAGTCGCTCAACACCTACGTGCGGCACGTCGACGACGTGCTTGGCTTGACGCAGACGATCGCTGGCTCCAATTTGTGCGAGTTGGAACTCGGTACGCGAGTCCCGTTTGAAACGGCCGTGGCTATGAACCTCATGCACGCCATCACAAGCCTCCCGCGACTGCGGCATCTCTCGATGGTTCACACGGCGCTGCCACTGCCGTCGGTCGTGCGACTGAGCGAACGGCTACCAAGCCTTACGCGTCTACGCTTGTACAACACGCAGCTTGACGACTATGGCATTTTCGTGCTCGCAAGCGCCCTGCCAAAGTGCCGTCATCTCGAGACGTTGCAGATCGGGAGCCAAAAGTGCTCGCACGTCGCTTGGGCGCATTTAGCGAGGGGTCTCGCGCAGTGTCGGCCGCTCAAGCAGCTCAGCTTGAGGGACAGTGACATTGGGTCGCGCGGTTTTATCGCGTTGCTGCCCGTTTTGCGCAACCTCGACAACGTCAAGCTCATTCAATGCGACATCAGTGACGATGGTGCGCTCGCGCTTTGCCACGTCATGGACGCCGCGGACGGACTCTTTGAGCTCACGTTGCACGGGAATCCATTCTCCAAGGGCGCAGTGAACCACATTGTCCGAGCCGTCTTGAAGCGTCTGCCTCGGTGGGGCAAAATCGGTCTCACGGTAGAAAGGTGAAGAGCGGGAGAAAGGCTGCAACGTACCCCGAAACCCATCGTGGTGGCCTATGTATGATTACGTGACTGTGAAATATATCTATGTATAAAGTCTCGTGTCGAAGAGTCGACAATCTCGTATCGATCGATCTGCGCATCGTATGGGCGCTTGCTGCAATATTCACAAGAACTGGTAGTGAAGATTGTTCACTGTAGCAAGGACTCTTGATCCAGTAATGTATGGAATTCATCGTCAAGGTTGTCGCATCGTTGGGCTCATTGCAGCTTGCACCAAGCGCGAATTGGCAGTCGCTCGTCGGCAAACGCCGCGCAATTTTCTCGTTCGTCTTCGTCGTCAACAGTCTCGCAAAGGTTGAGCACGCCATGGCGAAGCACAAGCGATGACCCGATCGCATCGATGAGACTCAAAACACCATCTTCCGAGATAGGATTTCCCGACAAGTCGAGCTGCGTCAGGTGGGCCGTCGCGTCGATGTCGTCGGCAAGCACGTACGCACCATCGGCGTCAACGTCGTTGGCTTGGAGGACGAGGACGTCCAGCGACCCGATACTGGGCAGAAGAGCGATCAACCCTTCCGAGCCCACCTCGTTGAAGGACAAATCGAGGACCTTGAGCGACGGGCAGTGCGGGATGGCGGCGGCAAGTGCTTGGGCTGTGAGATGTGTGCACTCTTGATTGATGAGGCTGAGCTGTTGGAGCCATTGACACTGCGGTAGTGTCTGTGCCAGTGGAATAATGCCCATGTCACCGGCGTAATTTCGGCGAAGCTCCAGAACCACGAGGCGTTGCATCTGCTCCGTTGGAATCAGGGGCATACTGCAGCACCCGAGCTCGAGGGACCGGAGTCGGGCAAGGCTCATGAGCGCGCGACGCAACGCCAGTACGGCACGATTGTCGAGGCCCACGTCACAGAACAACGAGACGCGACGCAAGTTGTTGGCGCCGCGGAGGGCGAGTGCAAAGGCGACCACGTCTGAGCTGTTTCTGACATTGGTCTCCAGCGTCTCGAGCTGCACTGGAAGCGAAAACCGCCGGGCTGGGTCCCGTGAACGGCTGCAGAGGTTAAAGAGCACGCGGGGCAGATTGCCGCCCTCCACTTTGAGGGACGCAAGTGTCTGTGACGTCAAGATTGCAGTCGCAAACTGAACCCTAAGATGCGTCCTGAGAGAGAGCTTCACGAGCTTGAGGGCCGTGATCGGCGCCAGGTGCATCCATCTTGCAAATGTGTTGACAGTCTCGTCGGTCCACGATGCATCGTCGTCGACATCGTAGTGCAAGCTCAAGCGCGTGACATTCGACGAGACGAGCGATTCGATAAAGCCCGTGTGCAGCGCTGCAGTCGCGGCACAGCACCAATACAGCTTGAGGTTTCGCAGCGTCGGCACGAGGTGCAGGTCTTGGGGCGCCCAGTTCGCGTCATCAGAGTCCGTGTCATCGTAAACGAAGACGTCCAGGGTCTCAAGTCGACCTAGGGTCCTCGCTCGCGCCAGCTCGTTTGGCGAGCAAATCGTCATCACGTGGAGCTTCGTCTCTGGCGGAATGATGTCTGCCACGGTGCGGCCAAGGCGTAGCTCAACGTACGGAAGAAGCGGCATGTACGCATATAGCAGCGCCGCGAGGTGCGTCTCGGCTTCCGAGCGGCGCCGCCCCCCATCAAAGAGGAACCTGGGTAGCAGCGACTTGGGCCAGAGCTGCACCATCTCGGGCTGCTCAGCACTCGTGTCGACGAGGCGACCATCAAGCACGCAGTCGTAGAGTTCGAGCAAGGCGACCATCGGCGGCGTCAACCACTCTATCGGCAGCGCTGTCAAAAAGGCGCGCATCTCGTTGGATGTGCCGAGGTACTGCGCAATGTGCTGCAGCGCGTCCGGCGGCAGCGCCGGCAAAATGCCATGCGGCAAGGCCATGCTGGCGGTGTTCGACTAATAGCTGAATGGCGGTCACGGTCTCTGGTCCAGCAATACGGACAATGCGTGGCTGTCTTCAAGAAACTTGAATCATTACAATTTTATCACGTCTGGCATATATATGCCAAAAGTATTAACTACGATGGAAATTATCAAGGGCCGAGAGCACCTGTCCCACTGCGCTTACCGTTTTCTGCAAGCAAAACCTCTCGCGACGCTCGACCGGGCTTCACTCTTCTCTCTTGCACCTCGGTCTGGCTAAGTATATCTATTTTCCTTGGGACGGTGCACGCGGCACTTCCAAAACTTCAAAAGTCGACAACAAGCTGCTGAGCCGTGGCTATTGCGTCCGGATAATCATGTCCGGATAAAGTTGCGTCCACGTGGCGGGGCGCAGCTCGCGCTGTAGGCACGCTACGAGCACCATTCTCTGGTTTTCGAACTCCCTGAGTCTTTCTCTATACGTACAGCTCGAAACACGAGACTCCTTCCAAAACTTCCAAAGTCGACAACAAGCTGCCGAGCAGCGGCACTGTGCTACTAGTACTTGCTTCCGGATAAGCATGTCCGGATAAAGTAGCATCCCACAGCTTCGTGGTGTGCCGGCCTCATACTCCATACAATGGCACGCCTCTATGGTTTTCGGACCACTGATCTTCGAGACGCAACCCCAACACATATGTAGCGATAGGAAACACTATATTAATATATATAGGATCTTTGTCCAGCTTAGTACGATAGCACGTCGAGTTTGCACCAGCTACTGTACGGCAAGGTTTCGCGGGCAAAATCCCAGCACTCGTTTAGGTCGTTCTCATCGTTGACAATCTCACGCAAATCGACGACGCCGTCGCGAACAAACGACTCGGCCACCGCGCGGATCACCCAAAGCACGGCTGCGGTCGAGAGCGGGTTGGCGCTCAGGTTGAGCTTTCGCAAGTGGTCCGTATCGTGCATCATGCGGCAGAGCACATTGGCGCCGTCGTCGTCGATGCCGCTGCCTCGCAGCGCCAGGCTGTCGAGGCACCGCATGATAGGCAGTAGCGCTAGAAGGCCGACCGATCCGAGCTCGTTGAAGGACATATCCAGCACCTTGAGCGTCGGGCAGGCTGGAATCGCGGCGGCGAGTGCTTTGGCTGCCACGTGCGTGCACGACTGGTTGAACAAGCACAGCTCTTGCAATCGCACGCATGTCGGCAGCGCCATCGCCAGCAGCATCGCGCCAGTATCGCACACGGATGTGCCCCGGAGCCGCAGCGTCGCGAGTTGCTGTAAACACTGACTTAACCACGTCATTGCCGACGGTCGAAGGTCCAGCGCGCCCCAGAGACCAAGGTGTCGCAGGTGCGTCAGACTCGAAATGACGCGGCAAAGCCGCGTCGTTGTCTTTGGCGAAAGCCGGGTCGTGACAGCAACTTCGAGCGTGCGCAAGCTGGAGCCGCTGATCGTCTCAAGAAACCCGTCGACGTTGCAGTCCGCATCCAAGTACGTTGTGAGCGCCGTCAATTGGGATGGAAGTCGTTGGCCGAGCGCAAAGAGCGCGCGGGGAACTTTGCCGTACTCGACGTGGAGCGATCGGAGGGACTTCGAACCCAGGAGGGCGGCTGCAAGCACGGGTGCATCGCCGGGGGCCACACAAAGACGAACCAACGACAGCGTCTTGATGACCGCGCTCGATGTCCACGCGACAAAGGCGTCCACGACGGCTTTCGTCCAAGGTGCCGAGCTGCCTTTGTTGTAGCATAGGTGGAGCTCCTCCACGTTGGAGCTCATGAGGTTTGAAAACAGGGCGGCCTGCTGCGTTACTGACGCCGACACCGGCCATGTGAGGTCAAGGCAGCGCAGCTGTGGCAGTGCCTGCAGAGCGCGGCAGACATCGTCAACGACGAGCTCACCCAGTTCAACGCGCAACGTCACGGCTTGGTGCGACCAGTGTGTCGTCACGTACGCGAGCTCGTCACGCGTCTGGACGGTGGCAACCTCGAGCTGCGCTTGCGGCGGGATGCAGAACCACGGTGACATCTTGGCAGCAACCGGAACACGCGGCGCCATCGACGCGTAGGTAGCAATCGCGCGGCGAAGGTCGTAGTCCTCGGTAATGCAATCGGGCACAAGCAGCCGTGACGACAGCTCCGACATGGTCGACCCGTTTGTATCGAGCTGAGGAAAGCGACGGTCGCGCACGGCGCTCAAGAGCACGCCGAGGGCTCGCAGAGGGGCCGACTGGTGCGGCTCGGGCAAAGCAGCCAGAAAGGCTGTCATGTCCTTCGTATCGCGAATGTACTCGGCGACGTGTTGCAGTGTCGCGTTCGAAAGCGTCGATCGCGCCACTGTCTTGCGTCGCTTGGTAATGACGTGGTGCATCGTGCGCAAATTTGAAAATGCGATCGATGGCGTCGCAGCCAAACGGCGATTTGCGTTTATATGCGTTATTCACGTTTTATCATGTCCTTTCTCGAGTTTAGTGTAGAAATACCCACGTGATAAATATCACATTCGCGTCAAAGCCCGTTGATTCGGTGGGTCTTTCTTGATACTTTGTTGATAGAAAAATCCGAGTCTTCGATTGGTTAGCCGCAAGGGAGATGGGTATACTGCCGTCGACGACAGAGCGGCGTACTGCTAGTACGTGCTCGACGCTCATGCCAGGCGACAAGACCACGTCCACGCCGAGGAGGCAGTTCACTGTGTTTGATGGAAGACACATACACCTACAACAGCGCATTGAGCAGACCAAAACAAGAGATAGCGAGCAGTACCAAACTCGCGCTGCAACACGAACTGCAAGCAAGACAGGTGCGAGAGAGACCAAGTTACGCGTGTCGTGGACGGTCCCTAGAGGTGGGTAGCATGGCGAGCGCGCATTGCTTGCTTGCATTTCGTGGTGCAGCGCGAGGCTGGTGTCGGGCAACGCAAATGACAGCAGCGCAAGAAAAGGCAATCTGAGGTCGTCGGTGTGATACCCGGACGTTAAAGTATCTTGGTGTTTGTATGCGACATGCAGTCCAGGTCCAAAGCCATCAATTCACTGTTACCCGAACCCTCTCGGTCCGGGACCACACGTTTTCACGAGTAAACGCCTGTGAGCTTCCATAGGAGAGGGGCAGCGAGACAAGCCCATACGATCGGACCGTTGATAAAGACTTGGTTTTCCCATCCGACCATTTTTAGTGCGAGTGTTTTTAGCTTTGTAAGTTGCCCTCAATTGACGCTCGCGCTTCGCCGTTGGTAGAAGGCAGTCTCTTGGCTCGGTAGTCGTCTGCGAAGAAACGTCGCGAGCGCAATACCCAGCGTCATGCGCGACTGGACTCAAAATACGGTCACGGACTGGCCGGCGCTTCGGGTGGTGCGCTTGTACCTGGTACTGGTCTTTGCCCAGCCCGCCAAGTATCCCTGCGACCATCATCTTCGACTGCAACTATGTTTATTGTCGACAGGACGCTATGTGGGGCCGCCTTTAAACACTGCTGTTGTAGATAGACATACTCGCAAATGGTGGCGTTCGAGCTTGTTGTTGCTGAAGTGGGTCGTCTATTAAAATCGATACGTAAAGCTACGCTAAATAAAATTGTCGACTTTCTTCGTTGTGTAGGCTCTGGTGTTGGTTGATCTTGATCTAGGCCGACGGAGGCAGGAGCGCAATCTGCGGGACATGGTGCTGGCGCGGCCACTCGTGTTGAGCGAGGAACCGGAGAAGACGATGGAGCCATCAGCCAAGGCTTTTGAACAAAGCTGTGGTGCAAGTGCATTTGAGCGACGTGCGCCGCCTTGACGGCAATCGTTCATGGACTTAGCAGTGGTAGGTCGGCGGGAAAGACGCGATCGTTTCGGACGCGCCGGACGTTGAACCAGACGCAGGCGCGGAGCACTGGCCAGAGGTAGTAGCGGAATGCGGCGTTGCTTGGATGAGGCGTTGAGTCCGCGTCGCGAGCGTCTGGGAGCATCAAGGCGTGGACGTGCTGAGCTTGGGGACCCCGATCGTGGCCATCGTCCGTGCGTACCGAGTGTGCCATCTTGTGGTATTTTCTACGTAGCGTTCGAGCTTGTAGAGCCCTGCTTGTGGTGAGGTAAATTTCGATACATTCTTCTCCTTTACACTCGCGACCTCTAGCTATCAATATCCACATATACAGGTCACGAGGTGTTGGCGCGTGCCGCTCTTGTGTGCATTGGCACTCCCGTGCGTGCCTATGTGCTCGGGCCTTACAGAGCTTGCCGTTCTAGTGATCTCCATGGCCCTCCGTGGGCTGTTGTGCGAGAAGCGCGTGATCAAGCGCTCGCAATGGCATTTGCCCGTCGCCTGGTGGCTTCGCGGCATGTGCATGCGTGCACGTTATACCTTGTTCAACACGGAGTGTGGCGCTTGCCTCGTGTCGGCATCGATCAGTTCCCCGAGTTAACTACACCTGCCAGGTCAATTTTAGGTATACTTGTATAATGTTCTAGATATGTCGATCACCTAACGATTATCTTGAGTTTGTGTTCCGTGTAATCACCGTTTGGTGGCCACCTTATGCGTTGTCTATGTTCTAAAGTTCGCTCCGGAGAAGTCTTCAGTGTCGTGCACACGACGGCATTTCTCCAAAAGAGTTGAGCATCGCCCATGCTCGTGCCGTGGCTAGTGGTCATTCTGGCTGCTGTCTTGGAGGCGAACGCGCAGCCAACATTGCCATCCAACTTTGAGACGCGACGCCTCAACAAGTGCCTCGACGCCGCGTGGGTCGCAGCAACGGCAAAGCGGCTCAACCTCGACCCGAATGCCATCGATAGTCAACGCCGCCGAGCGAATCCTTTGTTGCGCCAAGGCCTTCAAGAGCCCCGCTTCACGGTACTAGATCGTGCGCCTTATGCGGACCCCTACTAAGCCTCGATGTGTAGCTCAACGACCCACGCCAGTACTCGTCAAATGCGTTCAAGCCGGAGTGCTTCAAGGCAGATCAATCCTTTCACGGAGTGGGCGAGCGCGTCTATCCCAATGGCTCGGTTGCGACGACGGGGACCTGGAACGGGTCGTTAGTGCTCGAGTACAACAATTGGCAGTCCCAGACGCTAACGACGTCGATCATCGCTATCTTGGCCTCGGAAGTGGTGCGATCGGCACTCATATTATATACACGCATATCTTGTAGGTCGGATACCCCGTGTCCTTTTTGAAAACGAGTGGCGGTCTCGGCGTCACAGAGCGCATGTCGTCGGTCGGCGCGGGCGTGTGCACCCCGTCCCACGTCAGCCCTGAAGTGTGGACGAGCTCTAAGATGACGCTTCTGAACGTGTACGCCAACGAAACGAGCTCGTCGGCCATCGGCTACAACGGCCAGTACACCATACTGCGATACCTCGTGACGCTACTCGCGGGCGTAGATCGGGGCTCTACACGCTCCAGACCAACGTCGACGAAGCGCTCAAAGGACCAGCGTCCACGATCGGTACTACGCAAAGCGATTTTCAATTGCTGTACCGAATGCGATATCCCACGTAGGCAATTTCAGTCGCAGTCACTCGGCCGACTGGTGGCGCGACTACGTTTTGGACTCGGATTTGATCAACTTTTACTCGATCGCCAACTTCAACATGAGTCAAGTGGGGCAAAAAAGCGCGTGCGCGGACGGGTTGTACGGCTGCCTCAACGGTTGCTCCCAGACCGCTGCTTGCACCGCCGCCCTCGCGCAGGGTGCCTGCTTGATCGATGCAAATGTCAAATTGACGCGGATGTAGGCAAAACGTGCATGCTCGTAGCGAGTCAGTATGGTACGGACGACCAAGGCTATCTCCAGTCCGCTGTGGGCAACAACAACATCCCCGCGCGCTTTTGCTTTGCTGGCTACGCGCCGACGGGCAACCTCGTGACGAGTACCATGGCCAGCGGCGGCGCGATTGTCTTTTACCATTACGAGCCCGACATGTTTCATTTTACCAACCCAGGCAAGTTTGTGCGCATTTCGCTACCACGGCCAACGCCCGAGATGGTCGTACTCGCGACAGGCCAATTCGGATCGAACGGGTACGATGTGGTCCGACGTGTTGCTGAGTCGCCGCCAACCCGTTTAGGTTTGGGCAGCCGTCGCCGGACCCGGTCAGCGTCGACTACCCCGAGCAAGTTCTCATGAAGTACTACTCCAACTACCTCTTGGATGCAACAATGTTGAACAACTTTCTGCGCAAGTTCCAGATCACCAAGCTCGACATCAACAACTTGCTCTTGGCATATGCGAATGCCAACGCTTCCGTTGCCGATATCGAGTATGCTGTTGCGTGCGACTGGGTCCAAAAGAACTATGAAAAATGGTATCTCTGGGTCGACCGCCTCCCGCTGTGCACGATGAGCACCAATATGCGCTACAGCGTCGCCAACTGCAACAGCTCGTCGCAACCCCGGGTCGTAACCTTTGCGTGGACGACGCCCGACCCCGCCAACAGCTCGCATCCGTACGACTGCGACGGTGGATTTAGCACCTTGCCGCCGTCGTTCTACACAAGCCGGTCGTGCGAGTGGCTCGACGCCAACACGGCGCTCTGGTCTCTCTGGCTCACGTCACCGCCGACGTGCGACTTGTCTTTTTACAACTACTCGGTCTCCGAGTGCACGAGCAGCTCGATCCGAAACGTCGAGTTCTTCTGGCTGCTCCCGAGCGCGACCAACTACCTCGTGAGCGGCGAATGCATCAACGGCGTCTCTCTCCCGTCCAACACCACCGTCGCCTGCGATTACGTCCCGACATTCTCTGGCGTACGCTTTCCGATCAGTTGAAACGTTTGTTTGATGCGTTGATGCTAGGTCTACACGGGGATTGCCACCATTACCGTGATTGTGCTCGTGATTCTTGTTGTCTTCGTCGCGTTGGTGCTCAAGTTTCGAGAAAAGCCCGTCATCAAACGATCGCAGTGGCACCTTTTGTTGCTGCTGCTTCTCGGCGGCATCCTCATTTGCGCCTACGTCTTGCTTGGCGGCGGCGCGCCGTCCAGCTTTCTCTGCGGCGCGCGGCCGTTCGTGGGCTCTCTTGGCTACACGCTTTGCTTTGGATCGCTCCTCGTCAAGTCGCTCCGCGTCTACCTCGTGTTTGAAAACAAAGCGATGAAGAAGCGCGTCGTCTCGGTGTGGCGCATGCTACGTATTCTCAGCGCGATTGTCGGTGTCGACATTGGTAGTCGCCATGTTTCGAGTCGTTTTATGACGTCATTTTGTAGGCATCGTCGTCGTGTGGCTACTGGCCGAGTTTCCCAGTCCGTCGACGTACACGGCGGCCGCGGCCGAGTTCACCGGCACCCTTGTCCACGTCGAGTGCCACTCGTCGAGCTTCATCTTTCCCGTGCTCTCGATCTTCTGGAAGGCGGTCGTGACATTCGTGGGTCTCTACGTGTCCTTTTTGATCCGGCATGTGAGCGGGGACTTTCAAGAGTCGATTTGGATCTTCGCCGCGTCGTGCGTCGTGCTCGTGGGCTCGCTCCTCATGCTGACGATGACGTACCTCGTCGTTTTGCCGGCTGCCGCAGCGTACGGCTTCTTGTCGGCCATCACGCTCTTTTGCACGGTGCATCATCACATATGCCATGACACTCATGTCTGCATAGGTTGTCACGATGGCCCTCATGTTTGGACCAAAATTTACGCGCCTCAACCGCGACGACGTGACGACCGATGCGACCCACGCTACCTCCAAGGAGACCAAGACGTCCATGGTCAACGTGAGCGGTCTCAGCAAGTCTCGTGCCGTGTCGTCCGCAAACGGCCAGTGACTTTATGCGATGCAGCACCTACAAACACATTTCGTGAGAGTTGAATCAATGTTACCAATATACTTGTATACGGCACTGTGAAATGGCCGAACGCTCGCTTGTGGTGGGCGTCCTTCTGATCGCGGACGTGAAACGTCCCGTTACTTCCAGAACTGCAACCCGAAAACGTCCTCCATGAACGTACATGATATCTTTTGGCGCGCAGTCAAGTGTTTTTCGACGCAAGGAGCCAAAGGAGTAGTTTCGCGCGGCACGTGTCTGAGTTTTTGTCCACGGCCAAGCAAGTGCGCCATCTTCAGTCGTTGCCCGAACCACGGATCCCGTTTTACAATATAGCAAGTCAACGACGAAGTCCCACGGTCCAAGCTCATTTCCAAAAATGTCGCCTCCAAGCGCACCTTAGCTACTCATTTAACCCCCCACCAGTCCCTTCTTGGGCGGCGGCGGCCCCCCTAGACGAAGCTCACTCTTCTCGAGCACGCACTTGCGTTATGGCCACGGGGCCAAACGAACTTTCCGAGAGCAATGCTGGGAAAACGCACTCACTTTAGATTTCCCCTCGCTTAAAGCAAGGGTAAAGCAGCCCGCCACCGTCCCCGAGGCTGGGCGGTACTTGAGGCAAATTGGGGTTTTGCCC